CGCCGACGTCAACGCGCAGGGTGGACAGTACGGCAACGCACTGCAGGCAGCTTCGTACGGAGGCTACGAGCAGGTAGTTGAGATGCTGCTTGACAAAGACGCCAACGTCAACGCGCAGGGTGGAGCCTACGGCAACGCACTGCAGGCAGCTTCGTACGGAGGCTACGAGCAGGTGGTTGAGATGCTGCTTCACAAAGGCGCCGACGTCAACGCGCAGGGTGGAGACTACAGCAACGCACTGCAGGCAGCTTCAAAAGAAGGCCATGAGCGGGTGGTTGAGATGCTGCTGGACAAAGATGCCAACGTCAACGCGCAGGGTGGAGAGTACGGCAACGCACTCCAGACAGCTTCAAAAGAAGGCCATGAGCAGGTGGTTGAGATGCTGCTCGACAAAGGCGCCGACGTCAACGCGCAGGGTGGATACTACAGCAACGCACTGCAGGCAGCTTTAGGGGAAGGCCATGAGCAGGTGGTTGAGATGCTGCTCAACAAAGGCGTCGACGTCAACGCGCAGGGTGGACAGTACGGCAACGCACTGCAGGCAGCTTCGTACAGAGGCTACGAGCAGGTAGTTGAGATGCTGCTTGACAAAGGCGCCGACGTCAACGCACAGGGTGGAGAGTACGGCAGCGCACTGCAGGCAGCTTCAGCTGGAGGCCACGAGCAGGTAGTTGAGATGCTTCTTGACAAAGGCGCCGACGTCAACGCGCAGGGTGGACACTACGGCATTGCACTGCAGGCAGCTTCACATGGCGGCTACGAGCAGGTAGTCGAAGTGCTGCTCAACAAAGGCGCCGACGTCAACGCGCAGGGGGGACGCTTTGGCAACGCACTGCAGGCAGCTTCGTACGGAGGCTACGAGCAGATAGTCAAGACGGTGCTCGACAGAGACGCCGAGGTCAACGCGCACGGTGGACAGTACGGCAACGCACTGCAGGCAGCTTCAGCTGAAGGCCACGAGCAGGTAGTTGAGATGCTGCTCGACAAAGACGCCGACGTCAATGCGCAGGGTGGAGACTACGGCAACGCATTGCAGGCAGCTTCGTACGGAGGCCATGAGCAAGTAGTTGAGATGCTGCTTGACAAAGACTCAGATGTCAACGCGCAGGGTGGACAGTACGGCAACGCACTGCAGGCAGCTTCAGCTGGAGGCCACGAGCAGGTAGTTGAGATGCTGCTCGATAAAGACGCTGACGTCAACGCGCAGGGTGGATGGTACAGCAACGCACTGCAGGCAGCTTCAGCTGAAGGCCACAAGCAGGTAGTCGAGACGCTGCTCAACAAAGGCGCCGACGTCAACGCGCAGGGTGAATTCTTCGGCAACGCACTGCAGGCAGCTTCACTTAGAGGCCACGAGCAGGTGGTTGAGATGCTGCTCGACAAAGGCGCCGACGTCAACGCGCAGGGTGGACAGTACAGCAACGCACTGCAAGCTGCTTCACTTGAAGGCCACGAGCAGGTAGTCGAAGTGCTGCTTGACAAAGGCGTCGACGTCAACGCGCACGGTGGACAGTACGGCAACGCACTGCAGGCTGCTTCGTACGGAGGCCATGAGCAGGTAGTTGAGATGCTGCTCGACAAAGGCGCCGACGTCAACGCGCAGGGTGGAGGCTACAGCAACGCACTGCAGGCAGCTTCAGCTGAAGGCCACGAGCAGGTAGTTGAGATGCTGCTTGACAAAGATGCCGACGTCAACGTGCAGGGTGGAGAC